TGCTAAGATTTATATATACACATAATCCATACTAGTTAATCAGTGTGAACAATCAATAATCGAAACGACAGTGTTTTTCTACTTGCTCCTGCACTTTTTTTAAAACTAATAAAACAATTTACTTGAAATTGCCATTATTAAACAGATCGTTAAATAATATTACATGCTATTTTTTGTATTAAAATTGTACAGTTTAGGCGATACATGAAATCATTAGGTTGAAAACTTAACCAGTAGTATTTTCGTAAAAAAACTTAATAGTATACGCTTTATCTAGTGCGCATACTATATTTTTACTAAAAAGTATTTTTAGCTAAGATGAGTGAATTTTTACTGGGTATACACTAAGTTGCAAAATAATAAATGGATGTACTTCCGTATTCTCTACAAAGTACCACTTTGTCTTAGCTTTTGCTGTTCCTGATGTGCCTCAGCAGGCAGTCTATGTAGATTGAGTTTTATTAAAACTTAAAATAGAAGAAAAAAATGCTTGAGGAGTGTTTTTTGAACAAATAAATTAGATTNAGAAAAAAATGCTTGAGGAGTGTTTTTTGAACAAATAAATTAGATTTTAGTAGTGAAATACACTACAAAATAAAAGTAAAATGAATTAGAAAATTATACCTGTCCATCAGTGCAATTTTTTACTCTAAAACTTTAGGTGAAATTTTGAAATACAATTAGTATAAGTAATAATGATTAACTAACTTGAATATTACAGCAGAAAAAAAGTGTTATAACTTAAATATTGCTTATATATAGAGTATTCATTTAAAGACCTCGGACTTAACAATAACCAGGTTTACACTTTTATCAATAAATAATGAGAATCGCACTATTTTTTTACTTATGATTAAGCTTTCATATTTTTCAAATCGAATATTTTTGTTCATACTTCAAATTAACAAAACAATTTTGTTTGTCGAATTCTAAATTATTTGGCGATTGTATACGTTCAAGTGTAATCTTTTGAAACGAAATAAATTTCAAGAAGTAAATAGACCTGATTTTATTAGGGAAAATAGTTTACTTTATTATATAGTATAGTTAACTATGTTAGATAATATGATGATTATGTAAAATATATATACGAAATAGGTGAAGGGTTTACCATACATTTATCTTTTGTTGCGTTATAATAATTTCGAAGTCTTGAAATGAAATACGCCAATGGCCAATGATATACGATTACCGAATTTTAGTATGATAAACGTAGTTTAAAACTCCTGTTTGAAATTTAACAAATGACAAAGAAAGAAGTTTCCGGCCTTAACATTAAAAATAATAATATTTTAAACCAGAAGATAATAAAATTAATTGAGTAAACGTCGTTTATAAACACTTCAAGTAGCAAAAGAAATGAAAAAAAGTTTTTAATGTATTGATTAATGAATATTAGGCATCTTAAAAAACAATATTTTTGAATAAATCTGTCTAGTTTCTTCAATGACCACAGGCAGATACCTAATGGCCTATCATTTAAGTCTATTTACTATACATTAACATGCATAAAAGTATTATTTTAAAGTTATTGCGTAAACAGATTCGTAGTGTATCATAGTTGAAAATATTCGTTATAAATATATCACATATCCGTTACTTAAAGTAAAGAATTATAAAATGAATTATAAGCTACAGATTATGATGAAGTGTAATCAAAATTCTAATATTTTTTATAAATAAAAACAAGTATTATAGTCATGAAATTTTACTTTAAATATTTATTTAAAAAATCTTAGGAAAATATTAAAATAGTCGAATTAAAATTAGATCATACACTTGTTTTCCAGTAGTTTATTGAGACCCACACTGAATAGGATGTGAATAGTTGTGTTGACCTCATAGGGATATATCTCATATACCCATATACTATGTATCCAATTAAAGTTTGCTGAATAAACGCACAAATTATATACAATATACACAAATATCCTGAAAATATAAAGTATATATATTTTACTAACTCTAAGGTATACCCCAAGTTATTTGGTAAAATAATAATGAAATGGAAGTTACTTTTTGTATTATTAGTAACAGGGCTATTTTATTAAGGTTTTTATTAAAATACAATAAGTTTCCAAGTACAGTGTTTTTTTACAAGGATTCATGTTTTCCGCTGTTGAAATTGACATTTAGTAACCTATCCGATAACTAATATAACACATGAACTCCTACTTCAGAGCTTGATAGTATCTGAAATGTTAATATTATAGCACTTAAAAATAACAGTTATTTGATGGCCCAATATTGATTGTATCATCGTGCAAAAGCTTTTTACAGATATAATAGGTCTTATATACTTTAATGAATGTTGATCGTTCTTGAGATTTGCGGGTTCAGGACAAAAATTCTTAAAATCAATTGCGTAGGCCAAAAATGTTTTCGTTGTACTTTGATTTTCTAGTCTTATTATTTTCCTAGTAAAATTTTAGTTTACTTGACATTAGATTTTTATGATCGTAACAAAATAATACTAATTTAATGACCTCATCAAGGTTATCGATTATATACTGATGTATAAATATTTAGGTAATATTCAAAACTTGTTCATATATTTTTGAGCAATTACTAAAAGGTAAAGAATATATCTAAATGTTGAAAATGTCGTTTAATACTATTGTTTTTTTCATTTGCTCATTGGTGTTTTGTAGTATTAGCGGTCGTTCTTTACGTAAGTATATATATACTTTTTTGTTTATTTAAGTAATAAAAATTTGAGTGCAAAATTAATTTTATGTATAATTTAGCTTCTTTCATAAAAGCATGTCGGCGAAATGATGCCAATATTAATAATTGCATAAAAAATATGTTGGAGACCCTTAGACCGTATGCTGTAAATGGTATACCGGAAATGCACGTTCCTCCTCTGGACCCAATATCTATTCCCTTGATTACTCTAAATCAAGGAACTAATTCAGTAAATTTTAAAGCCGTATTTACTAATTTGAAGGGTTACGGGGGAAAAGACTTCCAAACAAAAAACGTAAGGTAAGTAGTAGAAGTAAAATATTTCAACTATTACTTTAATTACATTTTTTTAATTAATATAATACTTAGTAGTGTTATTCAAAAGACTATTTATTTAATTAACTATAATCTAACATTTTAAACTTAAAATAAGTTTGTTCACTGAAAAACGATATTTCTTTGACGATATTAATTTATTAAGGTTTCGCATATAAATTTTTACATCCCGTTGTCAAATCAATGAACGGACACTCATAAAATTCTTATATTACAGTTATTAAAATAAATAATTTTGTGACATTATAACTGTGGAAATTCGTCTGGTCAAGTTATTCGATTATTCTCTGGTAAGGGTCTAAAATATTAGGTCAGGCAATGACCTATTGGTTCATAGTTTCACCTATGTAGAGAACAAAGTTTTCTAAAATTATTTAAATTTTGAGGGGATAAGATTATTTAGCAAATTTAAACTATACTAATGTTTGAACACAAATAAATATATAAATATATTTTTAACTAAGCAGTAGAAATAGATATAATTGAATAAATCGATGCTCTAGGGTAAAGTAACTAGTTACTTTTGTTTACAGATTTCTTGAAGTTGCGTAGAATCAAATAGATTATTAATTGTATCACTAATGAGAAATTAAAAGTTTTATTTTTTTCAAATATAAAGAATACATCAAAAGTGAAACATTTCTTTTCAGGATTTAACAATGTGTGTTTTAAATTAATTAATTTCTTGATATAATAAGGTGTTCATGACTTCTTTTAGTCATCAGCTCATTATATCACATTAATTGTGGTATCAATATAATTGAACGATTGTCTAACTGTTAAAACTACAAAAAATGTGCCCCAAATCTTTCGAATAACGTTATCAAATAACACTTGATATCAAATTTGATATTCATATTCAAATTTAGTAGGCGGCCTACTTAGTTAGGAATGTGTTGTGCTTCAGTGTGTAGATACTTGACTTGGTTTCATATTGAGCTGAGCCATGTAGCTTATCCCGTCTTTTCTAACACATGCGTAGTTTTTCTAAAAAGGACGTTAAAGATAAATGTAATAATTATAAATTTGGAACTAAAAACTTGAATTATTGCTTCAAAGTTTTATAATCTTATTTAAAACGCAATGATAAAATTATTATCTGGTTAATTTTTTAACCCCAGTAACACCAAGTTTAATCTCTTAACTATAATCTAATTCAAGAAAAAAATTTGGAGAAAGATCTAGATCAAATATATAACCCTGAATTTGTGTCTGGCTTTGAGCATGTCTGAGAGTGAATGGTACTGAGGATAGGAATATTTGTTCTTTAGTATTTTCATAGAGAGTATATTCACTATAAAATAATCACAGATATATGAACAATGGACTAAAAATGATAGACTTAACTTCCATTGACATATAGAGTACTTAGAATATTTTCTGGTTTATTTAGTTATTCGTCTATGAATATTCCGTTAGTTGATCCTTATTGAAGGACTCTAAATAAAAACAAGATTACTCCATATTTCAGGAAGAAATATAACTAAGATTAATAACATGTATCCCTTATTTACCAGAAAAAGTTATATTATTCATGCTATTTCTTCCATTTTTTTCTTAAGTCGATGAATTCGTCATTTTTATCTTAATTGAAAACCGTTAATATCTGATTAAAAAAAAAAAAGATTACCTTGTTTTTGCACAGATGCAATTTAATATATATTGGGAACCTAAACCTTCATTAATTGAAATAAAATTGTTTTACCAATTAATATTATCTTAGTGCTTTTTATTTTTGTAGCATAGAATTTTTAAAACCCAATCTAATAAAATTAAAATTATTAACTTTTGCTTTATGTTATTATATAATAAAGTAATATGTTTAATATCTATTGTGAATATTGACTGTTTTAGGATAAATTTGAAAGAAAATACTTTTGACGTAGACTTGTTTTTTCCAAATTTCCAAATAGACTCTAAATATGAAATTAATGGTAAAATTTTAATGTTGCCTATTAAAGGCAATGGATTGTTCGTTGGAAATTTCTGTAAGATTATTTCATTTGTTTAGAATACTTAGGATATTAAAAGTACGTTTATTTATTTTAGCAAATATTGATACATCGCTAAGGATAGTATTGAAAACTGAAAAGAGAAAAAATGGTAAACTTCACTATGACTTCAAAGAAAAAAATATTAATTTAAATATAGGCAATGCTAAAATTAATTTCAGTAATTTATTCAACGGAAATAAAGAAATGAGTGAGTTTTTATATATAAATAAGGGTTAATTGGATTTTATAATCTTAATTTAAGAATGAACCTTTAAGTTAATAATAGGGTCCAGATGTCAATCCGGCTATTTTCTGGAGTCTCGCAAATTCTAATAAAATCTAAAGTTACTTGTATTAGATCTGTGAGGCTTCAGTCCGTATAGATACAATTATAACCCTCACGAGAAATTAAAATTTGTGAGGAGTTAAAGAAAATGGGTTGAGTTCCCCCAAAAAAATATTATTGAGATTTTGAACTATAGCATCATAGATAAATTTTTCAATTTGTGCCCATTTTATAGGGCCGTATTTAAGGGGTGGCTTGAAGGAGCAAAAGCTCAATAAAATATTATCTACAAATATTTTCATTCCGTGGGTGATTATAATTTGCTAATTTTTTATTTCTAATATTATTTGTTATAACTTGTTTTTGAAGCAATAATATAAAATTAGCCACAAGTAATCAATTTTTANTGTTTTTGAAGCAATAATATAAAATTACCCACAAGTAATCAATTTTTATCATTTTTATCATTATACTTTTTAGGTAACAACGTCAATCGTTTTATAAATGAAAATTGGAGATCTCTATTGCAAGAAACAAAACCTCTTTTCGAAGATACAGTATTGGCAATGTTCGTGAATATTTATAAACCAGTGTTTGACATGTATTCAATAGATGAACTATTTCCAGTTTAGATCATTTAAGTTACATAGACAATAAACTAAAAAAAAATAGTTGAATCGCTAAATTATTAAAAGACTAAATACATTTTTTATTTATTTATAGAATTTTTTTTATATAATATTTAGAACATATTAAGTTGAATTTTATATGATATATTATTAAGTTGAAAGATTTATATGGCAATATATATCATATTTGTAAATTATGCATAGATAATAATTAATTTTTAAACATTTTTGTCAACTATAAAAATTTTTTCGGAATTTTCGTTTGGGTTTCATCGTAAAACTGTCATTATTTGTAAATTATTCCTCAATATTATATATTTATATTATCATACTCATATAATTTAGACCTATTGATTTACAATTATTCATTGAGCTGAAGCACACTTTTTTTTTATTAACTTTTTATTGTAATTGGTAGTGTCTAATTTATAACATGTTCCTTAGCTAATTTAGGAACATTTTCTTTTAATAATTTTAATATAGTTTTCAGATATACTACATTGTAAAATATTTCAAACATATTCATTTCTAAACGATACTATAGAATAGCATCAACAATGTTTGTATTTATCTTTGAAATGTTTTAATCATTGATTAAACAACTACTAATATTTAAAGTCATTAAAAAAATTAAACTGAATTTTATGTGTTTTCATTAAATTACCAAAGTATAGGAATCAGGACTAGGAACAGAAATTATTTCGGGTTGTTTTCGATAATTTTTATCATTACTACTAACTTAGTTGACCTATATCCGTGTTTTCATGATTTAGTAAGATTAATAATTGTAGAAAGTATTATGACAATGATTTTAAACCTTAATCAAACTTCAACTTTTTAAAGTCAAATTTTAAGTTCAATTAAGGTTTCAAAGGTGTACTAAAAAAAAAAAAAACATTAATTTAAATGAACTAATTAACTATATAAATTGCCAATAGCCGATATATAATTCCCTAACCCTTTTAATAAGGGACTGACGTATACATATAAATAAACTTATCAAATAATGTTGATTTAGAGAATTATAATTCTTTGTAACAGACAACATTTATTGTAAAAGTACCTCATTTAAAAAGAGCTTATTTTGGTACACAAATGTTTGTGATCTTCATTTATGACAATAAACGAAAAGCGAGTTTATGAGCCCATCATAAAATAGTGTGTTATAATTTAATAGTTTAATTTGTCATTGTAAGCAAAATCAGATTAGTAACGCAAACCAACAAGAAAATTTTAATAAGCCTTCCTTATACTTATTGTTTCATAAATATTTGTTTTGTCAGCATCAGCTAAATAAGATAATAGTCCGAAAAATTTTCTTAAATTACATAGACAAGAGCAAAGAAATCACATACCAAGATAATACTAATAAAGAGTGTATATAAGGTTTTATTTTACACTTCCCGTAGAGTAGGAAATTTTCAAGTTACGGCGCTATTTACTTTTTTACATAAGTTTTTACAATTCCCCCTTCTGTTTTTAAATGATTGTATTTTGAAAACATGTTTGTCATTAAAACTCGATGTTGGCCGTATATTCCCCCTTCTAAAGAATTTTTATAACAAAACCTGAACGTATTATCGTTTCTGCCGGACCTTGTCGTGTCCAGTACATTTTATCTTAGTTCGTGCAATAATCAACGTAAAAAGATAAAACTGTTATCAGTCACTGTTGGTATATGTGGTAGCTTATGGTAACTGGTAGTATCACAAACTCACAATTAACGCATACTCACATTCAGAACACTTAAGACGGCGGCTTATTATCATGACAAAATAGATCTATTTTGTCATGCTTATTATCATATTGTACAAATCACGATTAAGCAATTGTGACTTGCGAATTGTTTTGTATGTTTGTGACCTTATTTTTCGTAATTCTATTCGTTCGTGACATTTTTTGATATTTTGGCATTCACTTATTTGTTCAACGTTTTCTTTTTGTAAGTGTAACTTAATTTATCATTGGACATATTTCGTGATAAATTAGTAGAATATATTTGTTGTTAAGATATTCCTTTGGCAAAATAAAAATAATCAGGTATGCCCGTTAAGGTAGACATTACACCGAGACCACCAGCTAATTCTAAACAACTAGGTGTCACTGGTTCAATACTCTATAGTGGTTCAAAATTTCACGGATACCAGAGGTCTAAAGGAAATAGTTACGAAGTTGAAGTAGTATTACAGGTAAGTTTATCAATTAAGAAGAGTACATAAGGGTTATTTGGGTACGATTATATTAATGTTACGAGGAGTTACATTTTACAGTATGTTGACGAGCAAAATGGTTATCTTTGTGGTTATTTAAAAATTAAAGGTTTAACTGAAGAGTTTCCTAATTTGACTACATATTTTGATGGTGAAATTATTAACAAAAAGTGTCCATTTTTAACCAGGAAATGGGATGCAGATGAGGAAGTTGACAAAAAACATTGGGTTAGTATTGTATATATGTTAAATAATTTTCAATTATCTCTGTCATTTTACATATTTTATCATTATATTAATATTAAATGGTAATCTATCTCAAATAATAACATTTTTTTTTTAGAATAAGTTTACTGCTTTTTGTCAGTATGCCAAAACATTTAATTCAGATGCATTTGATTATGACGAATTAAGGAATGCAGATCATGTATTTATGCGCTGGAAAGAACATTTTCTGGTACCTGACCATACTATTAGAGATATAAATGGAGCATCTTTTGCAGGTTTTTATTATATATGTTTTCAAAAATCAACTTCATCCATAGAAGGTTATTATTATCACCGAAGTTCTGAATGGTAAGTATTTTACTCTATTCTAATTAGTTAATATGTAAATTATATTAAAGTTAAAAATAATCAAATTGGACCTATTAGTGTCTCTTATTATAAAACTTCTTGAATAGTATGTAGAACAAGTTTTAAATAATTTATATTTTGGATCGATTTTTTTTTTTTTTTTTTATATTCAATAATATTATCTAAAATCATAAGTAATTAAAATAATGGTATATTGATGTAATTTGAATAAAATTCATTAATACATAATAATTTATTATATGTTATAATAATAATTTTAACTCTATATATGTATTAATATTATGTATCTATATTATATATAGATACATATATATATATACAATTTTTTTTTTATTCAATAATAAAAATATACCTAAATTCTAAATACTAATAATATTCAATACATTAAATTATACTCTAATTTAACAGTATATTTTGAATGTCCAAATTTTTAATGGCTATATTTAAAATATCAAACATTTTTTATTTTTTTTTATAAGAGTCAAATTATTAAATATATGCTTTTATCATAGTCCAAAACTCAAAATTTTCAAAAAAAAAAAGTAATGCAAAATATTTACTGCTTAAAAAATTATTTTTACACGACTGGCATTATTTTGGGCTGCCCTGGAATTGCCGTGAGGCATTACTTCAGGGCAGCCCACGCTGTCTATAAGTGGGAGTGGTGTGTCCAGTGATGAACATTGATCCCTGAGTGAAGATTAAGCCGATCTGCTCATGTGTTTTGTCACATGTTCCGGTGTCGCAGTGGACGATACTCCCTAAGCCCAGGCTAGGTCGCCTGGTTGCAGTGTCTCGACTTTTCTGTCAATCCTTTGACGCGCAAAGGGGTTCCGCATTTGAGAGGTAGTGGGATACCCTGTAAATATAACAAATTAAAATTTAATGCACAATTGTACTTCTTTATTATTAATAATAAATTATTTATAAACAATTTTGATATTCTAAATGTTAATCTGAGTACATGATTTTTGTTTCTATCAAAACACACATTTAAATAAAATTCTATTTTTGTAAATCTTTTATTTTCTTTTGGAGTATTTATTTATAAAATGTTGAAAAAATTATATACTTTAAAGGTATAATTTGGTATTATTATAAACAAAACCCATGTTAATTATTAATCCTGATTGATGTCATTTTGATATTCTCCTGAAATTGAAGAGATAATGTTTAAATCCTTCTCAAAAGTTATATGTTTTGTATTTAAATAAGAATATTTTATTGTCTTTTATAATGCTTCTTAATATCATAGAAAAAAAATAAGTTAATAACTAAATATTTTTAAAGGAATTGATAACTAAAAATAATTTTTCTTGCAGGTATCAAACACTTTGTTTAACTCATGTGCCTGAACATAGTACTCAAATATATGAATTTAGGTGATTTGTCAAGTGTGTAACATTTATACCATGGGTACCTACATTTTACCTCAGATCAGAGTTTCAAGCTTATTGTGATTAATCATCAAGCATTTTCATTTTGTTACAATTTATAATTGATTTAATATTTTTAGAATTATCATGTATACCATGTAGATGTAGTATACTGTTTAATTTTTACTGACTCCTAAACTAAACTAGTTTATGTATCCAGTTTCTAAGAATATAACGTTTTGAATTAATGATCGGCAATTTTTTCATTTAATTACAAAATTTTGACAAATAAAATATTTGTGGACATAGTAATAATGTTTGTTTTTTAACCACGCAGTATTACATCCACTTGACAACAATAAAAAACTTATCAAAGGCTCACTTTATTTTATTTATAAAATATCCACTAAACATTTTTGAGGAAATAATCATGGTTTCCCTAATTTATCTTTGAGATTTTTAAATTAACTAGACATTTGTATTGAAAATGTAATACAAAATTTTAGTCAATTCAATTAGCCATAAAAAATAATATACTATTTAGTCAATATAATTATTATAAAAATCTCACTATTACTATTTATTACAAGATGATAATATTGAATGTTAACTTTTTTTGTATAATAATCACTTATGGTTTTAAATGATATAAAAAATAGTTTCTTAATGAAATATTATTGTGCTTATACTAAGAATTAGTTAATTTAAGAACAATGTAATGATTTAAACCCTTAAATTTTAAATTGTGAGTATGATTATAAAAATTATTATAGTTATTTTTCTGTTGTACAATTTAATTGACTGTGATTACATTTAAATGTGTTGCTTAGTTGTTTTTATGTATTATTTTACATTTTTTTTTCATACAACTATTTATAAAATATTTTTTTAAATATAGTATGAATAAAAACTGAAATTTAGTGTTTTTTATTTTATGAATCAACTGATATTGATTTATAATATTCAGAGCAAAATAGGGGTGCTTTTAAAAATTGTTTTTAATATTTTTATCTTTGGGCTTCCCAAAATTTAATCTAATAATTATTAATAAAAACTGTACAAAATTTGAAACATGATAAAATTAACCAGTACCCCCCTTGTCCATTGGTAAGGGGTTAAATGTTTATTTTCCAAAAGTATAAGCTGGATTTTCATTATAAATTTGTTTTATATTTAACTTTAAATAACCCATAAAGAGAATATTTTACTGAAATGTCAAAAATTTACTTTTATATAGGTTAAACTACTAATATGAACTAACATAAGTGCTGTATACAACAATAAAAAAAAATTATTTGAATTTTTAATGAGATTACTTTTTAATATTAATTTATTAAAAATTGTTTCACTAAGAATCTAGTATATTCTTATGAGAACATTTTTTATTAATGTAAAAAAATGATTCATTATAAAAATGTTATTAAAATAAAGTGAAATGCAACTCTAATAATAATAAAATTAAATTAAGACGGGCATTTGACTAATTAATAAATAAATAATCAAATTTTATGCAAACCCATTGAATTAAGTTCTATATTCAAACCAAATCTGTTTAGAACTAATTGCAAGTTATTTTTATGATGGTAATCAATAATTTGTTTAAAATAATATTTAGAATTATTTTTGATATACCAAAAACTACTATTTTTTTTCAGAACTAAATATGTACTGTTTAGTACGAAATATTGTCAAGAGTTTTAATATATTACATCTCAGAAAATCCTCTTCTAAATATCCAAAGCTTCCTGAAGAACCATCTACATGTTGCATGTCTGGATGTGCTAATTGTGTATGGATTGAGTATGCCAACTCAGTTAGAGACATTTTATCTGAATATGATAGCAATGAAACCATTAAAATAGTATTAGAAAAAATACAAGATCCTAATATGAGAGCTTTTTTATCCTTGGAATTAAAGTCAAAAATCAAAAAATAATTATGTAACTATATTGAACAAAAATGATAAAATACATGATAATTACAATATATCTATTATTATTTATGAAATACAATGATTAAGCTGGTTCAGTAAATCTCTTTACATTGGCACTTCTAATTTTCTTGCGCTCCTTGTAAACTGCCATATGACCTATCCATGGATCAAAATGTATTAGTTCCAGTTTATCTGCTAAACGTTCTCTAAAAACATTGTATTTATGACCACTAACTATACTCTCCATTAAAACCATGGTATGTTTAGATTTGACTTTTTTAAGCAACACATTTGTTAAATACATCTTATTTTAGCAGTTATTTAAAATAATCACAAACAATAACCGAGACAAAAATTTTATATTGGCATTACTTAAACAGAATAGATGATAACTATGTACTTTTTAATATCTCGGTGGTAAAATGCAATTAAAAATTTATATATGAACATACATCAGATGAAATATTGATAACACATCAATCCACCACAAAATTGATATGAACTATTCTGAGAACAGGCTATATGTTATACTTGTAGAACTTCAATTGGAGTTCTTNTATATTTGTAGAACTTCAATTGGAGTTCTCTTTATAAATTCAAATTTAAAAAGATTATATTCATTAGAGTTGTGAATAATCAGTTAAATATTGAAGTTATTTTACTAAGGTAAAAAAGTTTTTAACTCTTTACATTTATTTTTAATATATTAGGTCATCTACAAAATATTATTTTATAGTAATTAAATATAAATGCAATTGGAGATATCAGTTGATAACGATTTATAANATTGGAGATATAAGTTGATAACGATTTATATATAATCTTAATTTAATGATTTCAAATTAAATTTATAAAAATATAAAAAAAAAGTTTTTTGATGATTCATTACAATAGTAAAAATTATAATCGAAAAATAAAGCAATCCATTCATTATTACACGAATTAATGAGTTAAGGCAAATAGTTTAAATTAAAATTATTTTATTATCAGTAAAAAAAAACTACGCGCTCTATCAAATACAACACTTACTATACTTTTCCGTTAACAATTTCGAAGAATCTTCACTTTGTAAACTAAATTTTGTTATAGTTTGAAAAAAGTTTATATAGCACTACTAATACGAATTTATAATGTTTTCCGACATAGTAGATAACTTAAATTTAAATTTGGAATCATTTTCAAACTTGTCTGACGTATTATTCGAATGTGAAAATATGACCGAAGAAATTCAGAAAGAGCATGAAAGTAAGTTGTATTTTTTAAGTAATAGATATAATTCAATTATTTCAGAAATTATAATTATAATTGTATCATTATAAAATAATAATTGAATTTGTTTATTATTACAATTATAACGATTTTAGGATTAAATAATGTCTGTAATGAAATAAACAATGACTTATTGAAACATGAAGAACAGTTATCATATGTTGAAAGAGAACGTGTCAAACTTATGTCAGAATTGGCTCTGAATATGCAAACAAATGTAAGCAAATTTTGTAAAGTTCGATGATTAACTCTTCTAAATAATTAATTATATATATATACATTTGATCATCACTTATAATGCTTTCTTGTAGCATGATATAAAAAATAAAGTGGAGAATTTAAAAAATACCCAACAATCCATTGAATTTGATTACAAAAAATTTAATAGAATGAAAGCAAGTAGTACAGAT